TCAAATACACCATCATAAACATATAATAACAAGGAGAGTCAATGCTTAAATTGTATTAGTGTTTGTGTTTGGTATGTCAGACATGACACCTTTGTTCTTCTCCTTTCAAATAAATACTAAACAATAAAAAAAATTTAATAACCCAATTCCAATTTAATTCATATGAATATAAAAAAAATGCTATTCAAAAAAGAACGAAAATAAAGTTGACAAGATGTATTTTTCATCTTTTAATGAGAGTTTTTAGCTCAAGAAACTTTGTTTGTTAGTTTAATATGAAATAGCGTGATTGATTATTGTTAATTAAAGTCTCTTAAAAATGGATAATCACTACCATTTAAATTTATTGTTTATTTTTTGGAATTTGTTTTATTAAAAAGGAATGAGTTAATTTGGTTGAGACATTTACTGTTCTTTCTTTCTCCTTTCTTTTTAGATTAGTATCCTTTAATATTATAAACACCTATATCACTGATAGACATATTCATGAATATCATTTGGAGGTGGTTCATTACCATTAATAATAATTTTAACACATATGATTTTGTTGGGTAGTTAGTTTCACTACTCAAACTAAGAATATATAAATGAATAATGTTCTATTCTTTTTCTTTTGTTATAATATATCCTTTGTTTTTAAAATTTATTTGGAATTTTGCTAGAAAATGAATTGTTTACCTGTTTTTCATATATTAAGAGACTTGTGTTTTATTTAATAGATGAATAAAGTTATTATTGAGTGTCAGTTAACAAGATGATTGATAGAATATTAGTCAAAAAATTTTTCATTTAGAAGTAAATAACAAAAAGTTATGAATAACATTAATGTTATTAATAACCAACAAAATCATACTTGAAAAATACCAAAATTTTGTTTTTTATGAGGATAAAAAAAGGTTGAACTAAAAAATCAGATTTAAAAGTAGATATGTCAGAAGAGGAAGGAAAAAAAGGTATAACTGAGGAAATAACAAACGAAAAATCCGAATTAACTAATGAAGAAGATAAGCAAGAACATGTCACAGAAAAAACAGAGGAAGACGAAGAAACTGAAGAAATTTTAGAGGAAGATGTAAAAGAACTTAACGAAGAAGGTAAAAGAATGGTAGAGTTAAAGAAAGTTGGAGAAAGAAAACAAGAAAAAAAACATGAAGTTACTTCTCAAGAACTTACGGCTGGTAAGAAGGTAATTGAGGCATTAGAAAAAAGAAAACAAGCACAAAGTCATGAAGAAGAATTACTTAAAAAAATTAAAGATGAAGATGTTGTTCCACATGAAGGAGAAACAATAGAACAAGCTAAAGAACGAATTGTTCAAGAAATGATTGAAAAAGAAAGAAAAGGAAGTATTTTTGAAGATACAGATAGAGCTAAAGATAAGAAATTGATTAGTAACATGTTTGATGTTGATGTAGCACCATATGATACATTATTTGACATTCAATGGGGAATGAGATCAAATACTGCAGCAGTAAGAGAGCCAAGAGGATATATTATTGATGGTGTATTTCCATTTTTAATTGATAAAGAAGAAGAAGAATCTCAATATGGCATTTTTTGTCATGAAAATGTTTACATTTATTTAGCTCCAGGTAAATCTGCAGAAACATTTAACATCTTTTGTTGGTATGGAAACAATTCTTCAGTAGGTAAAAAAGGAGTTTGTGCTATGTTAGCATCACAATTAAGTGTATGTTTAGATAATCATGCTAAAATATATTATGAGGTTGATGGGAATGAGTCAGAACTTTTTAAAGAAATGTTTGAAGAAGGAATTACATATACTGATGAAAATGCAACTGATGAATTACTTCATCCACCAAAGAAAGAAAAAAGAAAATTACGATTATTTAAAATTGATGAAGTATATAAAAATTTAACTCGTGTAGAACAAGTAGAACCAAATCATGTTTCATTAACTCCATATGATGGTTTTGTATTTGATGATAATAAAAGAGTTTATGTTTTTACAACAAAATATGCATCTAATAGAGTTAAGAATAGAGCACTTCAATTTGCAATGGTATTAAAAGCACAAAATAATTATGAAGAGTCAGAAGTTTTTATGGAGCCATCACCAAAAATGTTACTATTTTATAGAGCATTAAAACTAGATGATATGAATTATAATGAATTATGTGAATATATTATGAAAGAGTATAAACCAATTGAAACTAAACCATCATTTGGAATGTTAATGAGATTTACTCATAATACTAAAACAAGTCAAATTGTAAAAACAATTAAACCTGATAATATTCCATTAACGAAAAAAATGTTAAGAAGTCATAGATGTTATGTATATGATTGTGGAAATGAAATATTTATGTGGAAAGGAAAGAAATGTTCCAGAAAAGAATGGGAATTATTAAAGATGTTGGCTAATAAAGTAATTATGAAAATGGTAGATCGTCCAAAATGGTGTAAGATTCAAGATGAATTTGAAGGAAAAGAAACAGAAGCATTTAAATATCATGTTGCAGATTGGGATTACACAACTACAATTATTACTGATGACGATTATGAAAAACATATTAGTTTATTATCTAAACGTATTGATTATAACGCTCTTGTAATTAAAGAAATTAATGAAGCAAAGAAAGAATTTGAAAAAGCAAATGAAGAAGAAAAGAAAAAAGAAGGTGCAGGACAAAAGAATGAAGATAATAAAGAGGAGAATAATGCTTCTAAACGATTTAAAGAAAATATACAAAAAAAAATTCAATTGCTTGTTGGAAAAAAAGAGCCTATTATCTATGACTACAAATGGGATATTGATGGATATAAATTAAAAATTCAATCAATGATGGAAAAAAAATGGGAACCAACAGTATTAACTAAAGATACAATTGATTATGAATTAAAATATAATATTACAGAAACATTAAAATTAACTGATATACAAATTTATGCTTTTGTTGATATAGTTGGACCAAGTATTTTCAGAATTCCTGCTGAAAAATATGGAGAATTTTATGAAGAAAACTCATATATTGTTTCAGTAGAAAAATGGGATTTTGAGAGAGATATCTGGAGAAGAGATTTTTACTTTTGGGAAGGAAAAAAATCAACTCCATTATATTACTCACAATTCTTAAAGAAAAATTATCCTGTCCTTGTTGAATATTATGAAAAAAATAAAAACAGAAAAGAAAATGAAATGAATGCACGACAAGCATCTGAGAATCGTATTATCTTTAATCAACAAAGAGTCTTTCAAGGTTGTGAACCTAAAACATTTGCAGAATTATTTAATTTAAGAATTGTAGTAAAAAAAGGTAATTATAAAGACACTGTTGTTATTCAAGAAGATAATACTAATTATGATGAAGATGAGAATGAAGAAGATTATGAATATGGTGATGAGGAAGATGAAGAAGTAGAATATTATGATGAAGATGGAAATTTAATTGAGCCAGGAGATGATGAAGAATGGGAATATGAAGAAGACGAAATAGAAGAAGAACCACAAGAAACAGAGGAAAACAACAAAGGTAATGAACCAAAAGAAGACAATGAAAGTAATGAAACAGAAAATGGAGAAAAAGAACAAGAAGTTGATAATGAAAAAGAAGAAGAAAAAAAAGTAATTGTTAATAGATTTTTTGAAATAAGTATGGAAGATAGAACACAACGTATTGAAGAATTAAATCTTGAAGATGAAAATGTTGGGAAATATATTGAAAGTCATCGATGTTATGCACTTCAAACATTATACTCTGTATATCTCTGGATAGGTAAACAAACAGATCAAATTTCTCGAATTCAAGCAATTAGAAGTGCTATAACACTATTAGAAGAAGACAGAGAATTTGTATGTTTTGAAGAAGGATTTCATTATAATGAATTTTGGGATATTCTTCATGGAGTTGAGAAAGGATATTTAAGTCTCTCACCAAAAGACCTTGGGTTGGCTGCTCCATTAACATTTGAGATAACACCATTTTCACAGAATTTTATTCGAATTGGAATGAATTGGAAACAAGCTGATCCATCATCATGTTATATATTTGATTGTATGACACGAATATATGTATGGATGGGAGATGAAAGTATTCCCTTACAACAAAAATATGCTATTAAGGTTGGATATGATTATGCTGAAGAAAGAATGAAAGAAAGAAAAATAAACATTGAAATAATAACTGAGTATTGTGGTAAAGAAAGTGATCATTTTATTAGAATGTCTGGAGGAGAACGAATGGAATATTATGACTTACAAAATGATCCAAGAGAGGTTTATTATAATTTAAAGAAAGAGAGTTGGGTTGAATTACCTGAAGAAGAAAAAATAACAGAAGAAAACCAAGAACTTAAAATTGACTGGAGTAAAGTAAATGAAGATGAATTTAATAATAAAATGAAAGAAAGTAGGAATCAAGGAATTAAAGAATTACAAGAAAAAGAAAAATTAAAGGAAAAAGGAAATAAATTACTCCTAGATGAATGGAAAAGTAATAAAGAGTTAAATGATTTTATTAAAACGTTTAAGGATGAAGATACAGATATAGAAAGTCTCCCTGATGAAGACAAAGAATGCAAAGAAGTCACTACCAAACAGCTGATGGAAGAAATCAAAAAAGAAGAAGATAAAGAAAAACAAGAAAGAGATGAGATTGACAAAATGATAGAAGAAGAACTAAAAGAAAAATATGGAGATAATATTGAATATGTTGAAGAAGATGATGGTAATGACGAAGAATGGGAAGATGGTGATTGGGAATATGAATATGAAGATGCTGGTGAATATGAAGAAGATGGTGATGATGAATACGAAAAAGAAGATGATGAGTATGAATATGAAGAAGAAGAAGAAAATGAAGAAAGTGAAGAATATGAGAGTGGAGAGGAGGATGAAGATCAATTAGAATCTAAAAAGAATGCCACTGAATCAAAAGAAAAAACAATTGAAGATCTTAGGAAAGAAGAAAAGAAGAAAGAAGATTTAGAAAAGAAGCAAAGAAACAAAGCAGTAGACAAAAAGAACACTTACTTAAATGAAGTAGTTGCATGTGACTACTGTTATGAAGAACACCCAAGATATTTATTAAGAAAGAACATTGTTGCAGACGATATGGAAAATGGTATCTGTTGGGAATGTTGGAAAATTTATTTCCCTGATGAAAAATGGCCTGATTTAGAACACGACAAATAAAACATTCATTTTCTTAAAATAGCTTATGTTTTTGTTTTAACTGAACGAAAGGAGAATATTTTGTTATAAGAAAATGAAAAAAATATAAGAAATTCTAAAAATGAAGAGATAAACTTGAAATAAAAAGAATTGAACGATGACAGAATTTAAGACTACATTTAATCTTTTTTCTAAAGTAAAACAAACATGTGGAAAAGGTGATAAAAGAATTGCCAAACCAAGAACAAGGGTTGAAACTTCATCTGAAACATCTGAACAAATTACAACCAATAAATCAGCAAGTGCAATGGCTAATTTACTAAAAACATTACCAGATTGGAGTGTGGCTACTCGTAAGATTATAGATACCACTAATATTGAAACTTTCCCAATAGCTGGTGATTTACCTCGTTTATTAAAACACTTAACTGTTTATGAAATCCATAACGGAGACTTTTACAGTGTTTTTCCAACTCAAGGAATTGTAACTGAACATATTGTTGATTATTCTGTGTCAAATGCTGGAGCTGCAATTAATGCAGGTGATTGTTTAAAAATTTTACAAACTGTATGTATGATATTTGAATCTGATGAATTAGCACAACACTTAGGAAATGAATGGAATGCGATAATGGATAACTCTTGTGATCTTTCTGTTCAAAAAACTTTTTTAATGAGAATTTTAAAAAAAGTATTTATTGAAGAAAAAAGTGATGGTGAAAGTCCCATTATAATGTTTCTAAAAGCAATTAATCAAAAAATTATCGGACCAGCAACAATGAGAGTTCGTTGTCAATGTGGTAGTTTGATTATCAAAGATGCCCGTTTGTTTTACTTATATTCAGTCTTTTTTCCTTTATCAATCCAGAAGAGAGTTGTAAAAAAGGAAAAGATTATCTGATTTTTAAAATAAAGAATTAATTAAATATAGAACCAATGGTTTGGGAAGTTGCAGTTATAATTATGGAAGATAAAACTATTATTTCACATTATAGAAGGCAAGAAACAAGTAGCAAAAAACCAGAAGAATACTTCAGATTTTTATGGGAACTAAGAATGGTTTTTAATCGTGATCTTACTCAATTGGAAAGTCTTGTAATGGGTGTTACAGAAATTGAATTTGATGATATTACATTAGATTCGGTTCGTGATAGGGTTAGTTCTGCATTAGAACCAATGAAATCACAAGACTGTTTTATTGGTAATATGGACGACTAGATGTTGAATTATTCATAACACAAATTTATTTACTTTATTTGTTATATTTATGTTTTTTATAAAATACTAAACACTACTTGTATACATAAAAATTGGTTTAAACTATAATAAAAAGAAAACAATTTATTTTAATACTTCTTTGTTAATCCTATATATAAAATTAGATTATTCATTAAATTATAATCTTTCCATAGAAAAACAAAATTTGTGTTATTTTTTTTTATTCTTATAATTATTTTGTAGATTTGATTCATTCTTTTTACATCTTAATTCATTGATATTATTTTGTTATATATAAATATTAACAAACTTCCCTGTACATTCAAAAATTCAAAAAAAAAACTTCTTGTTCATTACTTATTCTCTAAATAAATAAAATAGAATTTGTCATTATTATCAATAACTACTTCTTTAAAAAAAAAAGAAAATGGTCCCGGCGGGGATCGAACCCGCAACCCTCGCATTTCTCAATCCTATAAGTACGATGCACTACCGACTGTGCTACGGGGCCTCTGTATATATATAATATATTATATTATAAATTAATAATATTATTATTTTTAGTGTTAATTTCAATAAGAAATAAAATAAAAGAAATGAACAAAAAGAACAAATAATACATTCACTCATTTAAAGTAACGTCCAATAGGTGTTGATGGCTCATCTTGAAATGTCATTAATCCCTAAATAATAAATGTTTGAACATTGTTAATAATAAAAACAAGATGGTTGTAAGACAAACAGTATTTTTTATTCTTTTTAATTCATCTTCTAATTCTAATACTTTCTCAGTTAGTTCTGTGATAGCCTCTTCAAGAGAATGGACATAATTTAAATCATAATCATTTACCTCATTCATCCCACTCTTCCATTTTTAAGTTTCTTTTCATAAAACAAACTTTTTTATTTTTTTACTTTTCATGAAGAAAAAATATCTCAAATCATCAATTTAAAGTAATTCAAATCCATTCAATTTAAAAGACATTTTTTGTATTAATTATTTTTTACGAGACCCACCATTAGACTTTTGTTTCAAACCACTTTTACCAAATCTTTTTCTGATTTTACCACTAAACTGTTTTCTTGGAACTCTTTTCTTACCTCCTGTAATTCTATCTTCTTCTTTTTTCATTTGCTTTTTAGAGAAACTCTTCATTAAGAATGGTTTATTTCTTGCAAGAACTTTAGATGTCCTTCCAGTTCTATTTCTGTGGAACTTATCATTTTCTGCTCTTGACTCTTTCAAGATTTTAATCCTTTCATCTCGACTTAACTTCTTTTTGACTGAAGCCTCTAAAGATTCTGGTAATACATAAGTTGTGTCTCTTTCCATCTCTTCTTCTGATGAAGAAGAAATTCCTTCATCCTCTCTCTGTTTTCTTCGGATTTTTTCAAGCTGTTCTTGTGTTAAAAGTCCACCATCATATTGTGGAACATTGTCATCTTCTTCACTCATTTCATCATCATCATCACCTTCTTCTTCTTTATCATTACCTTCTTTCTCGTCTTCTTCTTCGCTCATATCTTCTTCTTGTCCATCTGAATCTGAACTATCACTACATTCTTCCCAAGATGATCCAAGTTCTAAATCATCATCAATTTCCTCATCAGAACTACACTCATCAGCATCACCATCATTTGGACCATCTTCCTCTTTGTTCATATCCTCTTCTTTATTGTTAATCTCTTCTTGGACACCATTATCATCTTCCTCTTCACTCATATTATCATCACTACTTTCTTTTTTCTCAAGTAACTCAGCTCCAATTGGGCCATCATATACTTTTTGTTCACCATATTGTAAAATGGTTTTGTGTTGTTGGTCAGGTCTTCCTCGATCCTTTTTAGATAAAAGCTCCGGATTAATTCCTCTGTACAATGAAATGAGAGAACGAGCAGCACTAACAACAGCTTTGTTGTGACTCTTTTTATACATTGTTAAATCTTTCAACATTGACTGATTCATTACTAATGGACATCTCTCACAAATTGTTCTTACAGTATTTAAACCAAGTGCCTGAGCTTCAACTCTACTTCTGTCTGATACAAAATTATTTAAAATAGTTCGTACAATTGGTTCTACTGCATCTGGTGGTACTAATGGGTGAATAGCTTGAGCAGTATAAGCTAATAACTGAGTGATATTTTCATGTCTTACATATAAATATCTAACAATAAATGAATAAAATGGAAGACAAATAACTTCTCTACGAGCAATAACACGTGACAGTAAATCTAATTCCATTAATCTTACTGCAAATCTATTTCTTGATCCTTTAATATCTCTAAATAACTTATCACAAAATGCTATTGGGTCATAAATATTATCAATTGCTGCCCAATTTGCTTGATGTGCAATAACTTCTGTCTTTCTAAGTTTATCAACAGTGTCTTCAGCTTCTTTTTTCATTGCTCTTAATTTTCCTGTTCTCTTTTTGATTCCCATTTTTTTCTTTAATAATCTCAATTCTTCTTCTGCTTGTTTTAATTCTTCTTTTGTTTCATCATCCATTGCTGCTTGTTTTTCATCTAAACGAAGGAAAAATTCCATTGCTTTAACCTTAACTTTAGCATCATTGTGGAAAATGGCATTTGCAAGAATATTAATCACACGAGGCTCCTTTAAAATTTTCCTTGTAAACAATTCTCCTAAAATTTCAACTACTTTCTTTACAACTTTTATATTAGTATTGGAATCAATTATTTGCTCCAATAATCTCATTGTTGATTGTTTACTCTTTGCTCCTCCTTTTTGTTGAGAAGTATGTTTAATATCATTAATAATAAATCTATAAACTATTGCTGTAACATTTTTATCTTTAATACATAACATTTCTAATAATGTAGGCAGTATTTCTTCAAGTGACATAAACCCTTTACTTCTCAATCCAATTAATGCTTTTGTGATAGTAACTTTCGACTGTGAATTTAATTTACATTTTTTAATCATTTCTATTAATTCTCTTGGAAAATTTTCAAGATATTTCTTGTACTCTGCACTGATATTGTTTAAGAAAACAACTAATCTCAATGTTTCATCAAGTGCAGTGTCTGGAACACTCATCCCAAGCTCTGCCTGTGCGAGCATAGTTGTAACACTTGACTTGAAGTGACTGTAATACCTTTTAAAATCGTCTTCATAGGCTGGTGGATCCATTTTCATTTTATGTTGAATCAATGTATAATCGGTCATGATTCTTGCACAGTAAATTTGAAGTTTGATATTGTTTTTTTCAAAAGAAAAAAAGGGTTTAAAAAAATACAAAATAATAATAACAAAATTCTTTTATCATTTTACAAAAATCTTTCTCCATTCTGTTCATTCTTGGTACTTCACTTCTTTTGTTTCTTTTATGTTTTAAAAAACGTTGCAGTTCCTTATTTTGTGGGTATTTCATCTTAACCTTTTATTTTTTTATTTTCAATAACAACTCTTTATTCATTTCAATTTTCCTCTTATTGTCATTGTACCTTTTTTTTTCTGTATTGATGTTTGCAAAACCATCACAATAACTTGTGATTTATTTTTCTTTGGTATAACCTTTTTATCACTGGTTGTGACTGACACTTATTTCCATAATCTCTGTTTAGTGAAGTTTTACTTGTCATTTTATCTATTGGCTCTAAGATTTCGGTTGTTGTTTAATTAGTATGTGAGTAAGGACAATTATGCTTATTGTACTTTCCATTGTCTTTATTTCATTAATCATTTCAACAGTGAATGAATTGATCAATAAATGAGAATACACTTAAGCACTACACCTCAAATATTTCTCTTACTCTCATACCTTAATCTTTCAAAAAAATTATAACATTAATTTATATAACAATATACAAAAGAAACAAAATCAATATTT